TGAAAAGAAGTCGCGGCTTTTAGCCCAAACTTTACGTTATACATTTGGACATATTTGCTGTTTAAAGATTATTGAGTGAATTGATAAAGCTAAATCCAACCATACCTTTGGTGTTCGGCTAACTGTGCGTCCGCAAAATTAGATCAAGTCAAATACTTCTTGTCTAGTTATTTATTTACAAAAGTACTTGTAATTACAATTAGTGAGACTGAGACTGTAATTTGGTAATTTAAAAAAAAACAACTCTGCACAAAATTTTGAACAATTCTGGAGGAATAGGATAATAAGAAAAAAATTACTTTTTTTTTTCGAAAGAAAAAGTACCGCTTTTTTACCTGACCTAATTGGGTCAATGTGCAGCGGATTCATTTACCTCAGTAGCATATGTATGCATACGTGTTGTTGCATATTATTGCTAAATTACTATGCATAATTGCATCGTGTATTAAATTTGATTTTGCTTTTTTCTACGCTTTTTCTCGTCACATATCAGCTTGATCAAATTGTGATGGGAAAAAGTACTTTTAAGTTAATAACTTAGCATCATTACAATGTTGCTAAAAGCGAACATAATGCCCTTTAACACTTTTCACCCATGCAGCACGAGGAGCGCACTACATGTACTCTTTATCTCCACGGGCCAGGATACAGATGCGGTACATGATGCTATATATATATTATTATTATAATATCACACCGTCGCCGATCGGCGTCCTGTGGAGGCAAAGTGTTAGGAAAGCGTTCCAGTTCTAACGGAATCAAATGTTTTTAATCTCCTCCTAGACTCTACCCCTACACAGTAAGTTCAGTTTGTTTGTTTTTCTTCAGTCACTGACTTTGCAACCGACACCACCAAGAGGTAATGCACCACTATTGTGTACCAAATGTCTAGAGTTGGTTGTCAACATTTTGCTTTAAATACAGGGTAATTAAAATAGAATTTACGCCAAAGTCATCACACGATATTTCAAAAAAGAAAACCCAGACTGAGAAACACGTCCCAGTAGACACAGAAATAAAAAAAATTTCCCCTATTAAAAAAGTTGCCCCCATCTGTGACATTTCTTGAAGTTCAGCTGGACTAAACCAGTTATCCAATTTCTACCCTCTTATCATACTTAGGAGCTCAGACAATAAGGCATCCCAGCAAGAGGGAGATTATACTAAGCACGCTTTGACTTTTGACAATGTGCATTGAGCACTTATAAAAGATATAATAAAATAAAAAACCTGCAGTGAAGGTACGTACAACACATGTCCAAGCTATAGTTCTCTATTGTCTTTCGTTTTTAAAAATCGCGGGATGATTTTGGCCCATTCTTTTTTAATCACCCTGTATAATTAGAATGTGCCAGTACTGGTATGGTTTTTACGAGTTGGTTTTGAACAGAGTTCACTTCGAGGAGAGGCTTTTGGTATGCAGCTCTGTGTTCGTTTCATTGAAGTTGTTGTTATATATTATTATATTATATGTAAAAAAGTTATCAAAATACTTTATGGCTTTAAGAATAAAACAATACCCTGTTTACTCATTCATGCTTTGGTTGCTTTTCCATTTTTTCCTTCATGGTTGATTAGCAGGTGTTCTGTACTGTCAGTGTTCCTCTTATGGTTTGCTCCCTCTTTCCTTAGACTAAGAAACATCTGCCATCCTTCTCTCCAGGGTTGGGTTGATTTAAATCAGTTGATTTTTTTTATTTAAATCAACTTGATTTTTAAAATAAAAATCAGTGATTTAAATCACTTTTTTTTAAATCTATTTTTATTCAGTTTTTACATATATTTCAACATTCAGAATTCCTTTCCTTGGTTTCATAAAACAGATATAAGGTTTAGTAGACTAATATATTCATGCTTAAAAGTCTGCTTTCCCTCCTTTCACTGTAAAATAATACAGTATTCAATTTACTTTTTTTTCCATAATTGAAATCAGAGCAGGGTTGATTTAAATCAGTTGATTTTAAAAAATTTAAATCAGCTTGATTTTAAAAATAAAACTGCGTGATTTAAATCACTTTAAAAAAATGTATTCTGTTTTTACATCTTTAAACATTCAAAATTCCTTTCCTTGGTTTTATAAAACAGATATAAGGTTTAGTAGACTAATATAATCATGCTTAAAAGTCTGCTTTCCCCCTGTCACTGTAAAATAATACAGTATTCAATTTACCTTTTTTTTCATTATTGAAATTAACATTTTCTTTTTCTTTTTAGACAAACACAAGCGCGCGCACAAACACACACTGTAATAAAATGCAAGTTTATCTATGCATAATTACCCCCCCCCCCCCTTCCTTTTAGACTGACATTTTCTTCATTTTTTGTCTGTAGCCATAATTCACTGATATATATATATATATATATATATATATATATATATATATATAGCAGATTAAGGTTTTCTTTTGCAGTTGCTTAAATTAATCATTAGTTAAAATAAAGACAATGCATTTTGCACTAAAAGAACATACTTTTAGCAACCAAAAATCCCAAACTGTGTCGACATTTTTTTTTAAATAAAAAAAATCCCCAAAAAATCCGATTTAAATTTTAAAAAATCTTGGTTTAAATTTTTTTTAAATCGATTTTTTACCTTTTTATTTAAAAAATCAAAACAATCACCAACCCTGCTTCTCTCACCTGCTTTTCTTTGTATGTTATTCTCTCTTGACACCTCTAACCTTCGGCATATAAATATTTATAGGACACATTCTGTCGCATGTGCCGTAAAACTCTTAAGACAGGATAAGATAAGAGACTTTATTGTTCCAGAGGGAAATAAGGCTTTACGAACTAAAAATACTAAAATAGAAAAACACGAAAAATCTACATTTTTTAAAACTAAATGATCAGCTGATGGTGTTTTAGTTTTACAACTTGAGGCCTCACAATTCAGAGATGTTAAATTTAACTGCTCCTGCAACTTCCTCTCGATGATGCATGATGAATTTGATGATTGCAGTTGCAATCGAAATTTGTTCTATTCTAATTCTAGCAAGTATTTTACAGCGCTTGAAAAACAATTATAATGTTCAATATTATATAAGTAATAAGTGCCGAAGATCAAGTGTCACAAGAGAGAGCACCTACTATGAAAAGGTAGGACTATAATGATTGGCAGGAAAAGTCAAAGTGATGCTATGATGATGTCAGTCAATCCAAATTTGTTCTTGGTTATTCCCAGCTATCTTCTTGGGGTGGTTGACAGGTGCTCTAACTCTAATGCGGTGAGCTGGTTTCCTATCAAACTCTTTTTTTGTACATGTACATAGTAGGCCCTAATTTACTCTTAAGGTTAGTACATGTATAGTACATGTAACACTAACGCTATCCATCCCTACTAGATCTAGTTCTATCAGCACTTACGTAACTTTTAATTATAACGTTAATTTGAAAATTGTGTTGAAAATGCCATAAAACTAACAAAAGCTTAAAAAATTGGAGGATAGTATTTGTTATTGGACCGACTTGACTAACAAACAACTCAATGATGAGAACCAAGTGCCCAAGGCAGGATAACTGCAGATGAATACCAGGGTACAGCTGCGTCTCCTTCCTCCCTTTTTCAGTTTCTCTAGACGTAAACATTTTTCAACGATCTTGCAACACTATTAGGTCGTAAAAGTGCAGAAGATCAAGTGTTACACCAAGAGTAACCAACACAAAAAAATTTTTTATATTTGTTTTAGTAAGTGTTTTACAGCACTTGCAACACAATAAGGTCATATAAGTGCCAAAGATTAGAGGTGTTACAAGAGAGTTACTTTTACTTTTAGTAGAGGTTTTTCGGCGATCGCAACTGCATAAGGTCATATGAGCGCCAGAAGTTTAGAGGTGTTACAAGATAGTAACAAACACAAAAAAGGAGGGGAGATAAAGACGATAGATGTTTGATAGGAAAGAAGCAGCAAACCACACCAGAGCTCCCGCCAACCACCCACAAATTTTTAATATAAGGTGAGACAAAGACGATAGATGTTTGATAGAAAGATGCAAAGGCGAATAACCCACTACATTGTATCTCTTCTCCATCAGTCAAATCCAGGGTAAATATCACCCCCCTACCCCCTTTGGGGAATGTGGGTGTCAAGTAGTCGTGTCATTAAAATTAGCATAGAGTTCTATATTTTGGGTCAGCACCAAATGCCAGCAAAATCATCACCATAGCCTTTCTCACCCTGCATCAGGATATAGGCCACAAACACTTTCCACCTTTCCCTATCTTGGGCTAGCTTCTTGAAATATCCATGTCTTCCACTTTCCTGAACTTCCATCATGGACAGGGGTAAGTATGAACCACACCTGAATATCCACCTCCTCAAGACAGGGCAAAGTCAAAGAGAGAAACAGCTAGAAAGAAAAACTATATATACACAAGTGACAAACCCTCCCAAGCAGTCAGTTTAGTTTTAGTAGAGGTTTTACAGCTCTTGCAACTGCATAAGGTAATATGAGCGCCAGAAGATTAGAAGTGTTACAAGAGAGTAACAAACATAAAAAAGAAGAAGGAAAGATAAGGACTATAGAAGACGTTTGATAGGGAAGAAGCAAACCACACTACAGCACCCGCCAACCACCCACTCCCAAGCAGTCAAGAATGAACACAAGCAGTTTAGTGTCAAGTACAGTGCAGCCTCTCTATAGCGACATGGTGCCTAGGTTCTGATTTTTTCCTTATATTATATATCATTAAGTAATATTTTTGGTAGCCTCTCTATAACAACTCTCAAAAAACGACATTTCTTTCTGGTCCCGACGATGTCGTTATAAAGAGGCAGCACTCGGTAAGAGTTACGGGACTTGCAACACAACACAATAATACGGTCATATAAGTGTCGAAGAACAGATTGAGTTACAAGAGAGTAACATACACAAATATGAAGGAGGAGAGATAAAGATGAAAGATTTTAGAAAAGGAGAAAACAACACCAGAGCACCCACCAACCAGCTTACAATTACAATACTGAGGTACATTATATCCAAAAGAAACAGAAAAACAATTGAAGTGTTTCATTATTTTTATTTCAATAGGACAGATGAAGTGGACCTACAAAATCAAGCATCAACTCTCACACAATCAGACACATTCCAAATTTGCCCTCACACTCAAAGACACACTTTCAAACCGCCGCATGCACCCGGCCAACTTCTGAAAAACCCGTTCCAAAAAAATAAGACACATCATTAAATTACTTGGTTTGTTACCTTTAAAACAAGATCTTATTGACATGAGAACACGTACAACTGTGTGTAGACTGCACGACTGGCAGCAGCACGCGAGCTCTCAACACAGCTAGACTGCCCCCCCCCCACTGTTCGCTTTGCTACCAACCCTCCCATAGATTCTGTAAATGATTGCAATCACCAATTAAGATTATGGGGACTAATTGATTACGTTGCTCCCACTTCCACCAGTTGTTTCTTCAATGTGCACTGCCAGAGAGTACCCAAAACGAGCCGTCTCAAAATCTAAGGGAACTATCAGCAAAGATAGATGTAAACCCCAAACAATGTTACATGGAATGGAATCACAACTCGACTCTTGGATATAGGTAGAGAATTAATCCCCACAGTGTTTGTAATGCCAAGGACATCACCTGGAGAGCGGACAAGCCGAGACGCGCCTATCGCTGTCCCGCCCAGCATCGTACAACACTGACCACTCAGCTGTTTTCTTGCATAGTTCTTAATTCAAAGTTCAAATGACATAACCTCGATGGGTCAATGGGGAAACTTTTCGCAAATCGCAGTAAACATTCTCCCACTAACTCCTGACTTTCCTGTTGCACTGACAAACATGTGAATAAATGTGTCGAGGAGAGGGGGGAGGGGAAGGGCATGTGATAGAAGAAAGGATGATGTCAACAAATGCAGTTTTACAAGTTCCAACAGAGGGAAACAAATGCGAAATCAAACTTTGTGGGTCTCATCATACAGTGACAGTAAAACACCTCCTGCACTGATAACATTTCTTCCTGTCTCAACCAATGCCCATGTACACTTCAAGGTTTAAAACACAAAAGCAACAACAAAAACTCCACTCACGCCCTCAAATATTTATGACTGAAGACTTGATTTATCAATGACTGCCACATAGCACATGCATGCACAAAGACATTTCCATAGTTTGTTTTTTCCATTCCCCACTGTATGATACTACAAAAATAAGCTTCTTGCAAACATCAAGAAAAGTGGAAGTTGATAACACTGGGACCAAAAATAAAGAAAAACCATGACATTCTCAACCTCACCAGCACGTAAGAATGGTTCTGTTTGCAAAGCAACTAGTTAAATGAAAAAAAACCAAAAAAACATGCTAATATGATTTAGTAAATTGAAGAGGAGGGAACAAAGAGTGTGAGTGTGTTACAGAAATTTCTCGACAGATTTTCATTATGACTATTATTGAACACTAGATGACCAGCGATCAGGGGACACACACACACAGTTTTAAACCACCGCAGTGATAACATTCCATGTGCTCAAATTGTTGAGAAGGAAGAAAAGGCAAATTTTTGCAAACTGTCCACGACAACAGTAGCAAACCACCCACAACCTTGCTCAAAACCTGAACACGAACAGAGAACATTACGCACATGGCACAAAACTGGAAAAGACAAAAATGTCATAAACTAAATTCTACATGTGCATGCTCTACTGTCAAACCACCCCGACAAGTTTACTGAACATCATGGCATCTCGGATGAGTGGCTCCAAAAGGGGTCAGTCAATATCTTACTTCACAGTAAAGGGGGTGGGGAGGTGAAGGTTTCAGGGACAAAACCTTCAGAAAGACAGGAAAATATGCACACAAGAAACCAAATCATTACACAATGAATTAGTGTTGAATGAAAAAAAAAGTATACCTGTTATGTTGAAAATCACCACTCGCACAGTAATAGAATTTAGCACATTTTGACCCTGTAATTTTCTTCGAGCAAGAACACAATTTTCGTAGCTCAGCTGTCTTCCTTCCTGACTAAGGCCAATCAGCTAGCGAGCACAGATGGTAAAATCCAATAGGAGCCAAACGTATTCTGAAGGAAACCAAACTAGAGCAGAAGCGGCTATGAAAAAGCACAGGTCTGAACAGGATGTTTGATATTAGTGTCACAACTGCTCTTTTATACAATACAAAATTTCCAAATTCGTCAAGCATTGTCAGCCACAATGTAGGTCGTTCGTCCAGTAGAAATTTAATCCTTGGCGTTCTTGATACCCACTGCCATCTCTTCACCCATAGCCTTCAACACGGTAACCTGGGGAGGCAGAAGAAAAAAGATCAACATCACCACATGGCCATGTAAAACTGACTTGTTTTAAAAAGAGGAAACATCACTGCACATGGTCCTTTTGAGACAAAACACTAATAATTTCAGTTTCTTGGCTTTTAAGAGCAAAATTCTAGAATTCTCTCCAAATCTTACTGCCCACAAGTCAAATGTCATCAACACATTTACACTTTAACTTGCCCAGAATCGCTCGCTCTGATCAGATATCTTTAGAAACGAAGCCTCGCCATAACGAGACTCCGTGGCCGAGATTTTGTTTTATATTATAGTTATTGCAAAATGTTTCTTCTCTGTTCGATACCGAAACAAAATTTTTGGGGTTAGTTTTAGTAATAGAGCCTATCGAAGTGTGATCACGTATTCAACACTTCAAAGGTATCTCCACTTTTTAAACGGCAAAACAATTGTTGAGTTTGAAAAGTGAAACGATGGATTTAAACAAGAACAAGCAAATGACAAATCAAATAAATCAGATATTTATACTGATGAAAACGTAGCAAGAGTTTCTGGCAATTCAGATTAATCAGATGCAGAATTTAGATCTTGGGCTCAACCGCAAAGCCGAGAGTACAGGTGATGGTCAGACACCCTGATTGAATAAAGTTGCAACCTTTCAAACAGTTTGTGCCTTGTGCATACAAAAAGTCTTTTCTGAAACTAAAATCATTTCTCTTTATAAGTTTTATTTTTCCAGGATCTTTGGAATTTGTTAAGTATTCTTAAAATTTGTTTTTTAAACGCTTGTATTCATGAGAGGTGGTGGGATCCTTCTTAGGATTTGGGGGTAAACTTCCCGTCCAGACCCTTCAGGTGTAATGTGTTAAAGCAAAGTGAGTACGGAAATTTAGGGAAAGGATACATCAACTTTCCTTTTTGATTCTCCAAAACGTTACTGAAAATTGCTCAAAATGGTGGAGGTTGAAATAAAGTTCCGAGTTCAGTGTTTCCAACAGAAAAAGCAGAAAAGCCCAAGAAAGTTCCACTATGTCGCCTACCCAGAAGACATGGTACTTTTTTGTTTAGAGGATTGAAAATGCCATTTGGGAGCCTGTATGAAGAGATTACCAACTACACATTTCACTTTTCTTTTTTTTTCATCTGCATTTTTGTCTTTGTTTTACCTTACTTTTTCAGCGACACATCCTTCCCTTCCTAGCAATGTTAAATGCAAGGTCCCCAATCCACTGCCACTATTCTTATTTCCTACGAGTTTTATGGCACTTGCAACACAATAAGGTCATATAAGTGCCAAAGATTAGAGGTGTTAAAAGGGAGTAACAACAAACACACAAAAAAGGAGATGGGGAGATAAAGATGATAGATGTTTGATATGAAAGAAGGGGCAAACCACACCAGAGCACCCGCCAACCACCCATCCTGCCACTATAGTTCAATTTGTCATCACAACATTGACAGAAGGCAAATCTGGGAACCTCAATCTCAACCATGAATCATCCAGCCTGTACCCCGACTTTCCACCATTCTCACGTTCAAATGTCACATCCCTAGAGAAACTTATTCTTGGCCTTAGCATTATTTCTTTCACCAAAGATCTACCTCCCGAAGAAGCCTCACAACTGACAAGTTAGTCCAGATCTAGACAGATTTGAAAAAGTTTTTGATTCAAAGAATTTAATCTGGAAAAAAGACGCAGAGTAAAAAATAAAGGCGTCTTGTTTTCCGACTATATGTAACTTTCAGTTTGGATATGACATCCTTTACAGAGTTTCTTTGCATCCTGTGTGGCATGTCATAAAGGCAGTGAAAATGGGCACTTTTACCATGCTCTTGTCAACACTTCCTTGATAAAATTATTTAGTCCAATAAATAGGAAGATGCAGAATACAAATGAACCGAAGAGTGGAATTCAGGGACGCAACTGGACTTTTGTAAGAATTCAGGGATGCCACTGGACTTTTGTAAAAATAACTGAACATTTTTTCGACACTAGATATAGCATGCGACGAAGCAATAAATGCAACAAAACAACACCATATCAGTTCAACAATGAGAACAGACGATGCCCAAAATAATGGAAAAACCCCTGGGAATTTTTTTTTAAACTTCCAACCTCTCAGTTACAATCACCCCTCTTGTGTGTTTTGCCTCCAATTACATTCAGCAAGCCGACTACAAATACTTTTATAGGAATACAAACAAAGAGGAGGGTGGCCATTTGTTTATTCCTATTACTCACCATTATATTTTCGCCCTTTTCGACTTTCTCACTGATTTCCTTTCCAAGATCATTGTCGGGAACTTTCAAGTCTTCAGTAATATCACCACCGTCGTCCATCAGCTGAAGGTATCCATCTTCTACACCAACAGCCTGTAGCCAGAAGAATAACAAAACATGGTTTTAGTTTTATTAAAGAGTTTTACAGCATTTGCAACACAAACACAAACGAAAGTGCATCCGAATAGACGTGTTACTAGACAGTAAAATGCAAAGAAAAGAAGAAGCGATATAGACAATACATGCTTGATAGGAAAGGGGGAACAAACCACACCACCCCTTCCAACCACCCACAAACCAAGCATATAGATATATATACAGGGTTCCTGACATGAACTTCCCACCAAATTCAAGGAGATTTCAAGGAGAAAATTTCTTTAATTCAAGATTTGGTCGAGAAATTCATGACGAAAGCGTATTTCCAATAGGCCTACACTTGTCCGAAAGGAATCATAGTTTCGATTTTCCTACAAAAACTCAGACCAAGGTGACTGCCAACCCGGTTTATGTTTAAGGGGGGATGTGGGTACATTTATACCAAGTCAACATGTCAGGACTAAGGTATTTCAGTCTGTTCTTATTTACATTTTCCCCTCATCACATTCGCCTTTAGAAAAATGAATCTTGTTTTGAGCCTCAGAAAAGGCCTAGAACCAGAATATCAATAGTCAAGAACCAGCTTGGGTATCAAAGTTTATATAATAAACGTGAAAGACAAAAATTATTGCTCAACTCAAAGTAGAGTAATAACTAGAATAGCTCAAGTAGACCTATTCGTGTGAGAGGTGTAAGAACTGAGAGAGGGCAAAATGCAGTGACACTGACAATCAGCGAATCTTGAACAGAAAGCTAAAATACAGAATATACAATACATGTAATTTACAATCACCCATCCAATGAAACGGGAACCCTTTAGTTAAAAAACAAAGCTTACAGGGTTTGAATATGACGAATCCAGATTCCACACAAGGCCTGCACCAACTCGTGCTTAGCAGAGAGCTCTAGATCTATACAGTAATCAAAATTCTAAATACTAAAATCTGCTTCTCAAAGTTCAGTTTTTGTCATCCCGTGTGTGCCTTCAACCCCATCCCCCTCCCCTCCCTCGCGTGCGTCTTTAAAAAAAATCAATAGCCCCCCACTCCCGTGTCCTATACTTCTCAGCGTTCAGACTTTGAATGAACTTTGGTGACATCAACAATCACCGATAATCACGGTGTGGTGTGAACGCACAGGTTCATGGACTGGTCAAGATGGCGAGCCCAACAAGAAGTTTGCATACTTTCTTTTTCTTTTCACAAGTGAAAAAACAGACAAATGATTATTTTCATGGAGACACAGCGTTTGTAATAAACAGCCTGCATGTTACAAATGTTGCGTTATCAGACTACTACTACCGCAATTTCTGGGTGGCAACGAAAGCAGATCTTAATTTTCCAGATCGAGCCTCAGTGTCACATACACTTCCGTCTGCCCTCATAACCGCGTGTTCGCGCGAAAGTGAAAAGTACTCTTGGACGAAGAAAAGATGAACGAATATACTATCACAATCGCGACCAGCAAAAATGAATTCACTGACCGTATCGGACTTGGTTTTCAAATATTCGAGTTCCCCGATACTGATACTATTTTGACAAAAGATGGGACTTGGTAATCGCTGAGTACCGCGGCCATGGCTCTGTTCGCTGAAAAGTCTTACAGGCTTCATGACTCTGTCCACAGAGTAATTTACAACTGCTTACCAAATATTTACTACCTTCATGGCACATTTACTACCTTAACAAATTTATTTCACGACCTTGCTGGACACCCTGTCCATACCTGCCAACATTGCCTGGGCCAAAATCTGTAGTTCACACAAATTTTTGTCCAAAAATCTGTAGTTGACCTAAAAAATCTGCAGTAGGCTATATTACCACTTGCTGCATACTTAATTGGGGACCCTTCCTAATATTTTGACCCCACATACATGAGTGTGTATGCGACTTCAAACAAATGTAGAAAATGACAAAGAACAAAAAAAATAAACAATTACAATGAAAAATTAAAATTGTATCCGTCTTGAAAGAAGAGTAAATTCTAGGAACTGTGGTTTTTAAATTTTAAAAATCTATTCATAAATTTAAAAGTTATTGGGATTTTTTATTTCACAATTTTGGGGGGGCTTTGGTATTGGAAAATATTGCCAAAAAATGGGACGTTTCTTGATATATTTTGAGGAAAAACTGTTCATAAGTCAGTAATGAGTTGAAGTATATGAATGAAACTTTGCATTTTCATGTGATTTTTTGTGCAGAATCTAATTCTGGTATCACTTTTTTAAAATCTATCTTGGATCTTTAAGACTAATATTAAATTTGCATGAAAATATGTTGAATTGCGCGACATCGTTTGAACTGTGGCCGATCGCCCCTCTACACCTTAGCAAAGCAGTATTGGGAAAACCCGCAATGACGTTATTGGTAACCTGTTTAGTTTTAGCAGTTTTAACATTGTATTAAATTACTGTAAAACTCTCTGGTTTTAGGCAGTCAATCACATGCCACCTAGCGATCACGCGCCTCTTGCATGCTGGGGATGCCAGCAACTCGTGTGTTGGGTACGTGGTCTAGTTTCCAGCTCTAGTGTTTTATCAATGGATGGGTGGAAATTTTTAATTGGTACGTAAAGTGTAGGCCTACTACACACATAGATCTGAAATTTTACAGCAATAAAGAAGACACGTGGGGCGCTTGTCGGTGGCTTCTCTCTCAAAATCGGTGGATCAGTAGTTTGACCAAAAACTCGGTAGTACACAGATTTTTTCTGTAGGGTTGGCAGGTATGCCTGTCCCTTATGCATGCAGTACTCACATAATGCTATCACACGCAAGTTCACTGACAGGTCACGGAGACAGCAGGCCTGACAAGCTACAAACCGGATGAAGCTTTTTATTTTCATAATTGACAGCACATAAGTGACGAATACTGACTTTTTAGCAAGGGATGGGGATGCTCTGTTTATGATGAACCTGTATGTCACTACGTTGTAAGGCTATCAATAGAAAATTCTGGACAGTAACAAAAAGTGAAAGTGGACCTATATTTACCCAGACGACCAGCAGTATTACAGGTACTTTCTGCCTTGCCACTATAACCGCTTATTCGCAACAAAAAATTTTTTTTAATGGAGTAGACCTGCATGTGAGCCTCAACCAGATTAAAAATTTTGAGCACCCCACAACCCCCCCCCCCCCTCCTCCTTTTTGTGGGTGTCATAAAAGGAAGTACTTCCATGAAACGAGCGACTACCCCAACAAACACAATAAAGAAGAGACCTAACCCCAACCCCCCGCCCCCCCCAAAAGAACCCGCAACGGCCCTCATGATGTAAAAAAGCCAGGACAAGTCCAAAATGAGAAAGAAAAAAAAACACACCCCAAAACAAACAAGGAGGCAGCCTACAACAACGCTATAGATCAAATTAATTGGGTTTGATACAATAACAATAGAAATGGAATATGAATTCTCCATATAGTAATCTAAATAAATCTACATCTAGAAGCAGTAGCAGTAGTAGTACAACAAGTGAATAGGAATAGGCCTTGAACGAGAAATCCGCATCCGATTCCAAACAGAGGAACTCAGCTGAGTCTAATAAATTAATAAGTTAATAATAACTTACGGCGCGCACCCGATGAAATGCCATTTTTTCCGCCATTAATATTACAGCACAAACTATAATAGGGTTTGACACAAAAGAATTGGAATATGAACCCTCCATTGGGGTGTATAATGATCTATATCTAGATTTAGTAGAATAAGTGAGTAGGACTTGAATGAATCCACATAGGAACAATCAGTCAACTGACGAAATTTAAAATGGCCTCTCGAACTCCAAACTGAAAGTAGATAATTTAAGTCGCCGTCCTTTTCCGTATTCGTATTTCTACTCAGGTTCCTCGCATTTCGCACATTGTCTGATACAGGTGGGCCCAGCAATAGCATCAGCTGGCTCGCGATTGTCGGCAAACATGCAGGTCTGCCGGAAGTTATGACCGAACCAGATATGGTTTTTTATGTTCTAGAAATTAATGTATTTTCCCGGGGCAATTTACAAATTTCTTAAATTTATTTACAAATGTCTTAAACTCCTGTTGCATCCGCAGAGTTCTGTGCCGAAATTCCCGGATAACTCCTGGGGCCTGACAGTCACCCTGTTGATTCATTATTAGAATGGCCGTAGAACAAGGTATTTTTAACTCTTGTCCTGCGGGGTTAACCGGAAGAGGGCTCTTATCGATCAATGACCCACTTACGTCGCCCACGAGCTTGTGCCGCGGGGCGCCAGGGTCAGACACCAGTCACGCGAGCGTGCAGCGGCAGGTCAGGGAAACACCTCATCTTTTATAGCAAACTGATACGATCAATGAATAAGTGTTACGATAACACGAATAATTTCATTATCTCCTCGTCGGTTGATCAGAGACGTTGAGATTGGAAGTTACATCAAATCGAATAACTTTTCCAGAGTTTTCCAGATTTCACACCTATTATGAATGATAGACCTGCATGTGAGCCTCAACCAGATTGTCTGAAAATTTTGCGCAACCCCCCCCCCCCCCCCCCCCCCCCATAAGAGTCTTTGTGGGTGTGTATTCGTATTCGCATTTCTAGTCAGGTTCCGACAATTATGTCGGAAACGCCGACGTCAGCAAGAAAACGAAAGTGCCGACACAGCGGACGGGAGAAAAAGGGGCGCTGGCAGTCGGCCAGGCCTCGCACTACGCACATTGACTGATACAGGTGGGCCTAGCGATAGCATCGGCCGGCTCGCGATTGTCGGCAAACATGCAGGTCTAGAATGAACTTGCGAACAGCTGCTTATCAGCTATCTTTCGAAAGGGGATAAATATGGGATAATTTCCCAATATTGTTTTATATTCAGTTGCTCTCAAATTTCTCCCTCTGGTAGGAAAATGGTTCAAAAACCATCAAATATGATTATTTACATCAGGAAAAAACATTTGGTGTAAGAATTAGACCGTTTGAAAAGTGAGGAAAGGTGTTTGCATTGAAAGATGAAAGTCCTATTTCCTGAATATCCTTTCGAGTCCCTCAAGTGTCTAACTGGGTCAAAATGCTCATATTTCATTGGATGAACGTCTCAATCGACGCTGTTATCTCAACCAACGCCTCGCGTTGCAAAACAATGCATTAAGTTCCAGATGGACACACAGGCACAAGCAGACTGACGCACACACATGCAGACCCCGCACTAAACGAAATGCGTTGCCCGCGCGGGACGACGACTGGTCAGGGACCAGCTGTGGAGCGCCGCGCGGGATTGGGCTTATCGGGCAAACATTTATCAGGGACCAGAATCTTAAGGGTTAAGCAACCGTGCAATCCATGATTTCCTTTTTAAATTTCCATGTTTCGATCTGAAAATATCAAGTGCTTTTTTTATATTGTCCTTTCAATTCCCTTCCAACGTATGCACGAAAAAAGTGCCTGCATGCAGAAGAAATTTGATAAGGAAGGCAGAAAACCATATAGTGAATAAATTACTGTAAAAAGTTTCTACCCCAGTCTAGCAATCTCCAACCTGTGGGAGGCACACACCTGGTAATCCTGGCGATTGACCACAGGCACAGACATGTTATGTGTGGAGGGACATATATCCTCATACTTCTTGTTGGTGAACAGATCAAGTCCCACAAGATGAACCTGAGGAAAAAAATTTATAAATATGAAAAATATGTAAATAATTCTGAGGAGAGCAAAACATCTGACTAAGTGCCGTAACAAAATGCGCCACCCTACAAGCAAAGAAATCAACATAGTAAAGTTAGATGCCCACGTTGAGGATAACAGCCTTTTTTGCTGTGTGATCTGCGTTTGTGATTAAAAGTGACCAATCTGGAAAAGAATGGGTCTCCAACTTTGACAGATAAAAGCAATTCATATTTCAGGACTTCTTTTGGTCCTCTTGGGATAAAATGTATTTGAAATGCAACAAAAACATGAAAATAGCAAGACTATAACCGATTCAGTAAGTATAAAGGCTCTGCTGTCAATTCAACCCCTTTAACTTCCGTAAAAGTACATTGAGCTTCCACATTCAGTGCTTCCAACAATGCTAAAATGTAAGGAAAGTCTCAATATGCCAGGTTGTGTGTGTGTCCCCCCCCCCCCCCCCTCCAGAGGCAGCATCACGGTGGGGACCCGGACAAAAAAAATGTAATTTAGTGTCTTTAGGGGATTAAATGGCAATTGGGAGCCTGTTTGAAAAGATTGCAAATAACCCATAAAACTTTTTTTTCCTTAAGATTTTAGCTTTTTTTTCTCTTCAATTTCTTCACCTACACATCAACGGCTGAGAGCAGGAAATAAAAATCTGGCAGGTTTCTATAACTTTTATTGCTGAAAAAATTACCATAAATATTAAAAACGATAAAAATACAAGTATGGATCTTTCGATGTGGAATATCGGTAGCCCTACCTACAGCACTTTTTATGAAAGACTATAATAAGGCTAATAAGGGACCAAGTACGGAACTTTCAACAAGTATAAATTTCCATAACTACAGAAAATGGGAAGCACTTACATTTTGTTTTATTACTACCTTAACTTCAACTGACACGTGTTTCCGATAACATCTCCACCTTTAAAAAAAAAAAAACATATCGCAACTGTTTATTTTTACAGTAAAGCCTTACTAGCTACAGTACGTACATACATGCCTCAAGCAGAAAACATTTTTCCAACAGAACTCAGTCTAGACAAACTTTCAAGCATGACTGAAAAATCCTGTTTCTAATAACTCTGGAACTAGTGTGAGGCAGGATCAACTTTGCGACTATAATTATACCAATGGTTATACATTTAGCTAATGTCAAAAAAATTCAATAACTGCCCTCACTGTACTTACTTTTGCGTGACCGTGCTTGCCAGTTTTGGAAGTAGACATCTCCACAATTTTGCAGGGGCGACCTTTCAGGACCACGTGACCGTTTTTCCTCAAAGAACTGCACTGCATGGGGATGGTGGCGGATGCACCGGCATCTGCCCCCTCAAAGGTTTCTTCATGATCAGACATGTTTGGTTGCTTTTCTGAAATAAATTTTTAAGTTTGAGTCAATCCATATTCAACAACACAAAGAACAGAAATAGTAACAAAAAATCACTGCTATCGAGTAGCGAAGTGCGCTAAGGAAATAAAGCTCCACAGCGCTTCAAAGCATGAAGTCGCTACTCTTGCTCTTCCAACTCTTCCCTAGCCCTAAACTGTAACTAACATTTTACATCCCTACCAACAGTTATAATCACTAAACTAAGGAGGTGGGCTGGTTCCCATCAGGGCCAACCCAGACTGAGAAACACGTCCTAGTAGACACAACAAAAATCAAAATTTTCCCTACTTAAAAAGTTGCCCCCGTCTGTGATATTTCTTGAAGTTCAGCTGGACTAAACTAGTTATCCAATTTCTACCCTCTTATCATACTTAAGAGCTCAAACAATAAGGCATCCCAGCAAGAGGGAGATACTAAGCACACTTTGACTTTGACAATGTTCGGTTGTTTTTGTTTTTTTTCTTCTACTTTTTACATTAACTGAGACTATAACCATTAGACTCTATTACAGAAGGAAGAGGCTAGCCGTACTTAATGACGGCTAGACTGGCGTACTTATTCTTAATATGATGGCTAGACTGACCATTTTAAAAAACGAAGTGACTATTCGAACTTGAGTCCGAATATGAAAAAATGTTATTCGGACTCTGATTCTTGTCCAGCATGACATCACTTCCGACTTCCTGTTACTCGTGACTCCGGAATCCTGTCCTGCCTCACTCGTGACTCGCCTCAGGCTGGGTAGAGACGGAATCACTTTGGGCAAAATGGCGTTTTGTGTAGGAGCCGAGTTTTTATCTATGACATGATGAATTTGAGGCCGGCCTGAAAAGTTATAGCGCTTCTAATAAATGTTTATTTGTCAAGAGGTCATCAGAAGCAATTAAAGATGGCTCGTTAGCGTGTGTAGGGGTCGGATGGGCGACATGCACACGTGTGGCTGTGTGCGTGTCGAGGAGGGGGGTGGGGGCACTATCGGTCCGGGCGTTGAACGTCGCATACGTGTCAGTCTTTTTTCCCCCGGCAACTGATCACAATAATAAGCTAGTCTTGACGTAGATTCTAGATCTACGTAATGAATTGTGCGCTGGTCTATGGAATTAAAAATTGCCGTACGCTCAGCTCTACACAGCAACAAAACTTTTTCTTGGTAAACAATCGAGATGACACAGGTTTGTGTATTTGAACTTGAACTATTGTGTTTTTTTACACAGCTCATAATATGCAGGTGCCAGGTGGTCTGCTTATCTTCAATTTTACCTTTTTCTACAACAAAGAAAGTGGGAAACATGGGGGGTGGGGGGCATATCAATGAGGCGGCGGGCATAGGATCGGCAGAAAAGGTGTGGGGGAAACTAAAAAATGGCGGAAAATTGAAGAAAGCACTGAACATTAGATCTATAGAACGATAACACTTCCTTTTTTCCTGACCCGAGTCCTAATAACATTTTTTCATGGCCACCTCTATTCTCACCCGGGGTGAGAATAGTGCAGGCGAGTCTTTTGGCTATTATCACCCTGTGCGCGTTCACCGTTATAGCCTAGATCTAGATCTAGGCCAACGCAAAATTTGGTGAACGCGCACCGGGTGAGAATAGCCACAAGACTCGCCTGCACTATTCTCACTCCGGGTGAGAATAGGTGGCCTTACTCGGTGGCAATTGACAAAAAGTCAATTTTTGTCAATTGCCACAGCGTCACTCGGTGGCAATTGACACTACCAAAGTTATGTTGCTTCATTTTTCATGTCAACCAGCCTTGCATTTGGGACTGGGGATTGCACGTAATCTACACATCAGCTCAGATAAGCCTCGCCAGGATTCATGCCTGTTCTTTAGTAGAGTGGCAGCTGAGTATGAAGGTTTGGACCAAATGTCTACTTAGTCAATTGACACAATCAATGGGGCGATTACTGATGCTAATATTCCACAATCATTTTGCAGAAAGACGTGAAAAATCACCTTCACTTGATACTCCTTTATCGGAAAATATAAATAACATGAAATACAGCAATATGGCGGTCAAGGCACGGCCCGACCAGTCATCAAAAGTCAACATGATAATAGTTTGACTATCTTCCGTACAGAAAGTGAAAATTGCGATTACAGGCAATATTAGACATTCGTTAATTCATCAAAGTCAAAAGTATACTTACAATGGGCTAAAAATTACACAAAAAAATAAATTTCTACACGCAATGTGTACTATCTCACGTGTAGACAAAATACACTGCCGGTGGAAAAGAATGCGCATGCGCATGCGCTGCCCCACGTTTTAACAGACCGCGCCACCTGTTGAAATAAAAAGAGATCTGGGAGTTATCGTTTCTTGTTTCCAATACACAGGTATTGAATTGCCATGAATCATATACCTAATTTAGAAGAAGACCCACTTACATGTATAATTTGCTATCGCAACGGTCAGCCGGCCAAATACACCTACAGCTTACATGCTGATCGATTTAGCCAGAACCATCTCTAATATATAGTTAACCACGAATGAAAAATGATGGACATTATGGTGGTCAAAAACATGTTTATCGTGAACCCGTACATGAATGTGCTCTTCGAAAGATCTTTACTCCTTGCTTATATATTATATACTCTCACACACATTTGTTATTCTCTCTATTTATATCTCGCGTGCGCACACTCACAATTAACGCACACATCTACATATGGTACTATTTCTCTCTCTCTCTCTCTCTCTCTCTCTCTCTCTCTCTCTCTCTCTCTCTCTCTCTCTCTCTCTCTCTCTCACACACACACACACACACACACACACACACACACACAAACACACACACAACACACACACAACACACACACAAACGCACACACACACACACACACACACACACACACACACACACACACACACACACACACACACACACACCAGGTTGATACGTGTTGTATAAGAGAGGGAGACACGGACCCAAGTATTTTGACCCCTTTTGTCAACTCTCTGAGGAAAAGCATCCTGGTAAATTAATAAATTAAATTCAACGCTTAGGGACGCTTGCTGTTTTCGGGCACTTAGAAAATAAGTATATAATAGCTTCCTTATTGATACAGATTTTAAAATCCTGTTTTTCTCATTTGAAAGTTCATCGCAGCATTAACATGAATACCATGAAATCTATCATATTGTGTACATTTGTGTTTATGATTTGTTTACGGTGGTTGGAATTGGAGCATTGCCTCCTGGTCTGCGGCTTATCAGACATTAATGTTCTAGTATAATGTCCGTCACTTTCTCAAAATGTTAATACTTTAACTGAAAAGGTAAAATGTAATTGAAAATGAACGCTACGATTTTTGGTTAGGAAACGGTAAAGATTGGATCAAGTTAAGACCACAGTGACCAGTGGCGAAGCGTCTATATAATCAAATAATTACTGCTTCCCTTCCTAATTTTGAAACATTGTCGCAGTCAAATTCACCGATAGACATAAGCCTCATAAACTAATAGTAAAAAGACTTTCATAATCACCAATGAACAATAGACTGTGCCTAACCTTCAAAACCGTTTCATTGCCACAGAAATAGCCTGTTCGCCCACCTTCGGCCCACTCCATAAGCAATCACAAGCTTTGATTAAGTAAGCTTTAAGTGAGGCTGGAAGAGTCTACCAATAGAGTTGAAGGGAACATGTGTATAGCAGTCAAACCTGTTGCATTGCCACATATACCCTGTTCACCCCTTTCGAGCCACAGTTTTAAGCAGCCACTCGCCCTGATTATGTTAGCTAACTATTACACTGGTCGAGTCTACCTCACAGATGTGAGGGGAACTAACTCCTAGTAATATATTGACTGCTGCGAGTGCTTGTTTTTTTGTCCTCTAATTTTTAACGTCCTATAATGAGAGTGTGACCTCGATTATGACACCGGCTCCTGGCCGCGAAAAGATAGACAAAAACAGCCAAATGTAAAATAAAAAAAATTACATGTATATATATATATATATATATATATATATATTCATGGAGAGCCTATAGCTCCTAACACGCCGAGTTGGAGAGAAACGGTCGCACAGGGTGTCACAACATAATGAGTTATAATGAGGCTTCACGAATGACAGATTCTGAATCCAAAAGAGAAGCCTGAACACTGCACACAGGCTCATGTGCAAAAAGGGCTTTTAGATGCTCCGGGCAAACTTTTTTCTGTCAGAATTGGTCTCATCGGTCATAGCAGAAGCCACAATTTTAAGTCTTCTCTTTTTGAATTTTGATTAAAAGATTATTGCAGATGAATCAGGCATCAAAAGATATTTTGGGGCGATCTGTTATTGTTATTAAATTACGAAATAGTAACAGTTTTTTTCTTCGATTTTTACCTTACAAATTTATTATTTTTTAGTCACCCTATGAGTGCAAAATGGAGGATGTAACATTTTAAGAGTAGCATCTCCATAATGCTATTTATTGAGCTTCTTAATTCCCAACTGAGTCCAAGTTACTAACAGTAGGCTACCCCTACAAACAATAATGAAATGCACGTCTTTTTTTTCTGTTGAGTCAAAATTTTGCCCAGTTTCTTGGCATTCGCTTCTGCCTACCTTTACTGCATTGTTCACATTTTTTCCACTGACCCTAAGGATTCCAGCTCAAAGTCTTTCGGGGGTTAAAACTTGTCGTCAGTTGTTTTTGTTTTTTAAAATATACACTTGCTATTTATTTGCTTTATTTATTTATTCATTTACTTTTTAAGGTGTGTGTGAGTGTGTGTGTGTGTGTGTGTGTGTGTGTGTGTGTGTGTGTGTGTGTGTGTGTTTGTGTGTGTGTGTGTTTGTGTGTGTGTGGGGGGGGGTCTTTTTTCTGAACCATCGCCATCTTCCTTGTGTCACGTTCCTCTCCATCTTTCTAGTTTTCCTTCTGTAACAGTAACAGTTCCTGTCTGGTGACAAAAGCCAAACCATCCTAGATCCAAAAGCGTGCCTGCATCCCCGAGCCTAGGCCTGGCCTGATAGAAACATCAGTTCTTTGTCTCGACCTTGAACCAAACAAGGTCAGTACTCCAATGTTATTGAGTCTGTGGGAACCTAAGCAACGATAAGGCCCAAGGGACAAACCAATGGAATGTCATTGTCCCTGACGGAAGAAGCGCCTGGTTGGATGGAAGTAGGCCTACTGTTGGTATGTAGTAGTAGACACACAAACCAATTAGATCACTTTTAGAGTTAGTATGCCTTAGGAGTTTCTTTTGGATGTTTATGGAGTTTTGCTTTTTATGGAAATACCTTAAAATACCTTATCCCTTTTAAACATTTTGGTGAAATGATTTGTTTTGATTTTAGCAAGAGATGTAACTTTTTGGTGAAGAAAACCAGGTGGAGCTGAAGCTGAAAACCCCATCCCACAAGATGCAATTGAAAACAAGCATACCGTGAACAGATTTTTAGGTCCCATTTTTTATTCTTATTCTTATACGTGATGTACAAAAATGTACAGTACATTTAATTTTTTTTCTTTTAAAACACATGCATGTACCTAAACAAATTTGTAGCGAAGATATTTCTGCACTCCGCTGATTTTGCAATGTGCGTACTTACTTACTTACTCTCTCCCTATACCAGTGGCGGTGGGTGGACCAAAATTTTGGTGGGGCTTAGTGCTTCCAGTTCTTTACCATCAAAAAGCAAGCAATGAGAATTAAACAGTGATGATTTTTCTACACTCACGGTGAGCCACGGTAGTTTGAGAACATTCAAACGACGAGAGTTGCCTTTGTTTTCCCTCTCTTTGTTCTTAGTTAAATTCTTGTTGATGGTGGGGACGAAGCCGATTTACCTCTAAATTTCCTCTAATTAGTTTTCATGTGATGAAAAAGTTGCCTTAAAAGTAGTTCGACCTGATTTATAACTGTTAAATCTGAACGGCACAAACAAGCACACATACAGCACTTCAAAGATAATACTTCTATGAGCTGGATTAGGCCATGTAGTTGAGAAAGTTGAACGAACCCAACAAAGAACCAATGAGCGCATAGGTATCTGTGTCAGTGGGGGAAAGTGTGTCGTAAACTTTCACTTCATTGTCAGGGCTAGGAGAGCGTGGCCCTCGGTACAGTGTTATTTTTTCCGTCTTCTACCTTTCTACAAGAAGAATTTCATGAAGGACGGGCTGTGGGAAAGGGCTCATCTTCGCTGAGCCCTAAAGACATTTGATTGGCTGCTGGGTTACTATAGTTTGTAAGCGGTGACAACAGTGATTGCCATTCCTTCCATCGCCCTTCCGGCAGACGGGAGAGTCGCAGTCAAATCTTTTTGCTGGTACGTGTCTCCCATTTTTTTGGAGGAAAATTTATTTCTAAAACCTGTTTTACAGCACTTGCAACACGATTAGGCCATATAAGTGCTAAAGATCAGAGGTGTTACTAGAGAGTCATAATAATACATGTACAGGCAAAAGATCCGGAGGAGAGATAAGGACAGACAATAGATGTGATTCAAAAGAAGGAGCAAACCACACTAGAGCATCCATCAACCACCCACTCCCTCCCAGTTCGACAAGGCAGTTGAAAACGTACAGTCTTTATTCATACTCTGGCGTTTGTGTTACATTATAGGTCTTTCTCCGGTGCACGCAGAGGCAGGAGACGTATGTTCTTTTCTGACTTTTTTTTTTTTTTTTAGTAAGAGTTTTACGACACTTGCAACACAATAAAGTCTTATAAGTGGCGCAGATTAGAGGTATTACAAGAGAGTAACAAACATAAAAAAGAAGGAGAGATCAGGACGATAGATGTTTGATAGGAAAAAAGGAGCAAACTATACCAGAGCACCCGCCAACCACCCACGACGTAGGTTCGATTCCCGAGTGGGGACGTTTGAATCGAGTATCCCTGTCGTTTCTGCTGGCATTTATTTATTGAACGTTTTTCTGCCCCACTCATGTGGGTTGACGCACATAATCGCGGTCATTTCTTAAACTTGTGGTCAACTGATCTTTTTTTCTTTGTTACTTAATGCCATGTGACCATAGCCACCCACTGGGCCACACACACACACAGAGAGAGAGAGAGAGAGAGAGAGAGAGAGAGAGAGAGAGAGAGAGGGAGGGAGGGAGGGAGAGAGAGGGAGAGAGAGAGAGAGAGGGGGAGAAGGAGTTTAGTTTTAGTCAGCGTTTAACGGCACTTGAAACACAGTAAGGTCACATAAGTGCCGAAGATTAGAGTTGTTACAAGAGAGTAACAAACATAAAACAGGAGGAGAGATAAAGACGATAGTTGTTTGATAGGAAAGAAGGAGCAAACC